TATATAGTGCCTAAGCAAATGCTATATTATATTCTACGTGCTTTACAAATATTATTTAATCTTTATAGCAACACTATAAGAAAGGTACTGTTTTAGATAAGAAAACTGAGGCAGAAAGGCATAGTCATGTGCCCAAAATAGCTGGAAAGTTACAGAGCTGGGATTTGAGTCCAGGTGGACTGGCTTCAGAATCTATGTTTTTATTATGTTACGCTATTATTAAAAGTTAATATACAAAGCATTCCTGAATTTGCTTTTGAACACAAAATGCAAATTATATTAGACAAACTTGTAGAAATACAAACATATTCCTATTTAGTATATAATCTAGAAAAAATATTTGCTTAAACAATTCGCTGTGAAATTATTGTTCTTCACAAAATTGCTAATTATATTGATGAAGTATATTTGGGCCCTTTACATGAATGTAAATACGGAATATAAAAGAGAACATGGATCATGAAGCTGAGACAGCTGGGTTTGAAAAAGGCTCTATCACGTGCAAGTTGTGTACTCTTGAGCAAATGACTTTATACTCTCCATACATACGTTTCCTTGGCTATAAAATGGGAGCAGTAGTTCCCACATCGTATAAGTTGAATGAAGATTAAATGAGTTAACATAGGTCAAGTATTTGGAACAGTACTCGCCCACATAGTGAATACTGCGTAACAGTCGACTATTATCATTATTTTTGCCATTGTTACCACTCTTGTTACTAAGATAGAGAGAGATCAAAGTACATACATATTCACAAAGGAATAAATCAGTGGAATCAGCACTTCCTTTGTTGAGGTGTCCCTTTTCTTCTCTATCTTCTCTCTCCTTATATTCTTTTATACTCAAGTTAGATGTGCTCACTCAGACCAGTGGCTTCAAATGCCACCTCTAAGATGACAAATTTCTAGCCTTGACCTGTTGTCTGAACATCAGATGTGTGCATGGCACTGACTACTGTACAACTTTCCTTGATGGTCTGCATCAGTGTCTCACACTGATCATGTGAAAAATTATACCCAATCCTCACCACTTGCTTCCTCCATAAGAAACTGCTGCTCGGGGCGCCTGGGTGGCGCAGTCGGTTAAGCGTCCGACTTCAGCCAGGTCACGATCTCGCGGTCTGTGAGTTCGAGCCCCGCGTCAGGCTCTGGGCTGATTGCTCAGAGCCTGGAGCCTGTTTCCGATTCTGTGTCTCCCTCTCTCTCTGCCCCTCCCCCGTTCATGCTCTGTCTCTCTCTGTCGCAAAAATAAATAAACGTTGAAAAAAAAAATTAAAAAAAAAAAAAAAA